ACAACTAGACACAAAGACAGGTTTTCCCGAATGTCATCACTCTGCTACAAATAATTCCCTCAACATTGTCAAACTATTTACTAAGTTGCATTACTATTACTATTAATCTTCTCATTATTCCTATCATCCACCTCCTCCCACTTATGACTGTATGACTGTAACTTTGCTGCTTGTATCCTTACGATTTATATCAATGGTTTCCTAGTATGATTTGATTGCTTATTTGTACCCTATGACTATCATTAAGTATTGTACCTTTTCTTTTATGTACACTGAGAGTATATGCACCAAAGACAAATTCCTTGTGAATCCAATCACACTTGACCAATTAAGAATTCTATTCTATTCTATAAAAAAAGCATATGCTAAATCCAAACCAGAATACACAGATTATGCTGAGCCTAATACGTGTACCCAGCTACAGCTAACATATAAACATAGTGCAGCATATTCTCTTTCAGTACATCTATAGTACTCATAATGCTCTAACAACCAACCATTTCTTCCCCAATCTTAGGATTTAGAGACCTGGTCCAGTCAAAATGCAGCAAATTTCTCTTATTGTTTTATCCAGAGAAAGAAGCGGGTAACTTAATACAGTTATTGGAAATCAGCACAACTTCAATAGCCTAAGTCTACACACCTGCCCATACAGAAGATAAATCCCCCTGGTTTTAACTTTGCCTGGACCGTGATTATAATATTTTGTGAGCCACCCTACATAAAGCAAGATCACAGTCATAAGAAAAAAAATGTACTGAAAGTTGTTGAGAATGAGAAATTGGATTTGTTTCTAATTTAGGCAAGATTAAAGGAACTGTATTAATGCACTTGTGATGGTTGTCAGAGTGTGTTAGCCACAAAGTGCTTTTACAGAAATGGACGATGTAATTATGCAGGAGCTCTCATTTCTGTTCCTATGGACAGCTGCCCACCTCGGTCCTAGTCACACCATTGGTAGAAATACAATGGGAGTCCAAGCTTCCTTGCTGACTTAATAGAAAGACACATCCAAGAAAGAAGAATCTGGGAAAATAAAGAAGATTCATCCTGACAGCACCACCTTCAATGTTGAAACTCCTAGCCTCCCATCTCAGCAAGATATCATCAGTAAAGCAACATTTTAAAAAGAATGAAATCGAAAGAACATTGCCAATCTACAAAACTGCAGGATAAAATTGGAAGAGATTAGAAGGTAACCGTGGTGTAGAAAAGCAATTCTCAGAAGCCCATCACCCACCTGTTCTGACCTAGGCTTCCTGAGACAGTAAAAAGCACACATTTAATCCACAAAACCCTCTTTTTATTTCAACGGCTGTGAATTATGTTCATTCACAGCCTGTAATGAGTCACAAATAGTTTGTAAAGAGTCCGACAGTAGTCTTCCAAAGTCCTTTGGGATAAGGCTGATAAGCACCCACCTTTATCTCCCTTGAAAAGCTGCCAAAGACCTAATTGGCAATTAGTTTGGCAAGGCTACACGAACACAGAGTCAAAACGGAGCTTCAGACTGTAAACCAACCAGAACAAAGTTGCTTCCTGCAAAAGCTCATGTGTCTTTGCTCCTCCTTTATGTCTTATGGGAGGGGCCCATCATCTCCAAGCCTTACTCCCAAGCCGCTCCTTTTGTTTTAAATGTTCTTGCCTTCTGGCAGCTCTGCGCATGTGAGCACTGGGAACAGGCTCCCCCTGTTCCTCTTCCTCGCTGATGTCCAACTTTGAAGGCAGCACATCTCCCAGATGGCCCTGGCCCTCTCTCTGCCTTCAACGCAGAGCCCTTGTCCGAGCCTTCCCCAGACTTCAGGACTGGCCCATGTTTCTCCCCAACCTCCTCACTGTCCGACTCTGCTGCGAACGCCACAGGCCGCCAGCAGACCACAACACCCCCATAGCCAGGCATGTTTATTGCCTAACCATGGTTTGGTTTGTAAAAAAAAAAAAAATCTGATGAAGATTACATGACCCATGAAGATTGAAACCATTGCTGGAAACTATCAGTTAACATATTAAGCAGAGCACATTAAATGAATCAGGTGACTGGATGAAATGATTTTAGTTTGTAGCTCTATTTTGGCTTTTTTCTCAACAAGCAGATAGATCCAGGTTGCTGGAACAGCTGGATTCACATAGCAGTTCAGATTTAATCTGAAGGAGTCAAGAAATCCTTGCAGATCAAATGCATCTACTAAGTTATTTAGATGGACTTTCTGGCTACCTGCCACCCCCAAACAAAAGCTCTTTCTGTGGTTGGTTCTTCCTATGTTTACAAATGTATCTTTTTATTCCATGCAATGATAGAAAGTATATTTTTTTTGCTGGCATTTTTATCGGCGCCAAACATTCCTTCTCACTAGGCTGAGAAAGGCATGGATGATACACCCAAAAGCTAAATGGAAGAAAGGTACAATCGCTAGGAAGCAAGCTAATCTTCTGAAAATGAAAAGCTAGAAAAGAGGGGAAAAAGAGAACATATTTTCAAAAATCGGGACAGAAAAAACTTATTTTTCAAGAGACTAGCTGGATGACTTTCTGACGTACTCCGAAGATAAATTATCAAGTTTTGAGACAGGAATTAATACAGGGATAAGCCAATCTATTTGGTTGACTGCCAAGGGGAATGGAAAACACATTTGGATCAATGCCTCCATAATATACCAGCAGTTCCCACATTTANGAGGTGGCTGGATGGAGTCACCGAAGCAGTAGGCATGAGCTTAAATGGATTCCGGAGGATGGTAAAGGACCGGAAGGCCTGGAGGAATGTTGTCCATGGGGTCGCAATGGGTCGGACACGACTTCGCAACTAACAACAACAAGTCGTACAAACAGCCTGGCCTCAAGTCTTGTAGGGCTTTAAAGGTAAAAAATAACCAGCACCTTGAATTGTCAACCTTCTTAGCATGATTCTACCTAGTGGAAAAATATTTACCCATCAGGACACTGTCCTGTGATCTGGCAGAGTGCCACTTTTTTTCTTCATTGTTTTCACAAGACAAAGCGATCAAAACTGATACATTTTAGGAAACTGACAAATTATCAACAAAAACTCAGTTTAGTATCCATCACTGGTTTTCAGAAAACTCCAATGAAGCAAGAAGACAATAAGGAATCTAGTCTATTGCATACTTCTATTCGTTGTCCATAAAATACTGAATTCTATTCTGTTGAACTAGAAACTTAGAAAGAAGCTAGTTTTCAAAATAATTACTAGTACAGTAAAAACTATATTCATAGTCTGTGATGCTACCATATCCTTAATAAAAATAGACCAATCCAGAAGTCTTGACTACCTGAATAATTCTAATTTTATGCTAGCAAAGAAGTGGAAATGAACCAATGTCTATGAATGTGATTATCATTCAAAGCCAAACGATCCTAAAATCTTTTATTACCGAAACTCAGCACCCTGGAGTTTTATTCCTCTTCTGCCAATTTAAGTCATAAGCTTCAAATGCCCAACTGGGGAAGGACGACAGCTCAGTATATACACTTTGAAGACAGAATGCTCCAATACGTATTTGATTTTTTAAAAAGATTCTAGTAGCAGATGATGTGAAAACCCTGGGGCTGGGTGCCAGAGAACCATATTCCTGTTTAAACAATATGCTGCTAAATAGACAAAAGGCCCAGACACCTGTCAATTTGATCTCTCTTAAACAACTGTCGGTGGCAAACGGTTTCACAAATTAACAAGTATCAATAAGCTTTATTCCCCCTTTTCTATCAGGATGTAATTTCTAAGTGGGATATCTGGCACCTCTAGCTAGAGGAACCAAGACTTTTTTGCATTGGTCATCTCAGAGAGATGCTTCTACTCAACCTAATAATTAATGTTATTTTAAGTAGACACAATAGACTAGAGTAGAGTAGAGTAGAATAGTTGGAAAGGATCTTGGAGGTCTTCTAGTCCAACCCCCTGCTTAGGCAGGAAACCCTATACCATTTCAGACAAATGGTTATTCAATCTCTTCTTNCTCCGAAGATAAATTATCAAGTTTTGAGACAGGAATTAATACAGGGATAAGCCAATCTATTTGGTTGACTGCCAAGGGGAATGGAAAACACATTTGGATCAATGCCTCCATAATATACCAGCAGTTCCCACATTTAGCAACCTCTAGTTTTGGAATTTTTAAGAGTTTTTAAAAATCTGACCTTTATTATTATTTTTTATAACTAACTCAAAGCGGTGAATATGCATAATACTTCTTCCTCCTCCTCCTATTTTTCCCACAACAACTCTGTGAGGTGGGTTGGGCTGAGAGAGACCTGCCAGCCCAAGGTCACTCAGCCCAACTTCATGCCTAAAGTGGGACTAGAACTCACGGTCTCCTGGTGATTGGTCCAAAGTCACCCAACCGGCATACTTAAGGCAGGACTAGAATTCACCAACTCCTGGTGATTGGCCCAAAGTCACCCAACTGGCTTTCAAGCATAAGGCGGGACTAGAACGCATGGTCTCCTGGTGATTGGCCCAAAGTCACCCAGTCAAGTTTCATGCCTGAGACAGCACTAGAACGCACCTGGTTTCTTGAGCGGAACAGCTCATCAAGGTGGATGATGAGAAGGAGAAGCAAAAACTTCTGAAAGATGGAGGCTGGGAAAAAGGGATGGCTGAACCAGGACTGTCTGTTTGGTGGGGTTGGGGAGGGGGAAGTGATGGGGAAAACGAATTATTCCCCACTATGTCATTTATTCCAAGGAAGCCAACCTTATGTCCCTTCCCCTCTTTCCCCCATAAATCAAGGAAGATTTCCAAGCCACCCTTCTTTCTCTTTGCCCTTCAAGAGAGCCAATTCACAACCAATTCAAGCTCTAGGTTTAGGCCACCTCTTCCAATCCTTTACCGGCTTTCATTTAAAAACAAATTTAATCCACCCTAAGAGAAAAGCAGTCGGAGCCTTCTTTCAGACACAGCCCGGCCTGAATAGCTGAGCCCCTGGCAGGGAGCTTCTACCCCTCACCCCGCAAGGAATGGGTCCAAAGCTCCCAGCATAATAAATCAGCAGCGATGTTGTTCCTGCCACAGAAGAAGCTGTTACTCTTCCGATGGCTCGGGTGATAAGGATGGGGATGGGGACGGAGGGAGGCATGTTCAGCTGCAACGGGGGAAAAGCTGCGGCTCTACTCGCGAGTCAGAGGGCCGGAGAGGCCTCGTCGCCTTCCCACTCCCCCGAGCCCCGGGCCTCCGGCTCGCCCTCCGTGGGAGCGGCGGCGGCGGGTGGGGAGGACACTGCCCGCCTGGCTCACCTCCTCGGCCTGCTTGCGCAGCGCCTTCTCCCGCTCGTACTGGGTGAGCAGCTGCTCGTTGTCTTCCCGCAGCAGCTCCAGCTCCACCTCGTGCTCCTGGTTGTCGGTCAGCACCGAGTCGAGGTTCTCCAGCACCGTCACCACCAGCGGCATCAGCTCCTTCACCACCTCCTCGTCGTAGCAGCGGATCAGGCGCTCGAACTCGCGGTAGATGCTGTTGGCCAGGCCCGAGACGCGCTCCGACATCACCGAGCCCGAGCAGTAGTCATCCCCCGGGTAGCCGCCGACGCCGCCATCGTCCAGCTGGATCTCCAACATCTTGGCGGAGGCGCCGCCGATGCGCTTCCCAGCCGCTCCGCCGCACCTGCTCCGGCCGGCCGGCTTGCAGAAGATGGACGGAGGCAGCGGCGGCGGCGGCGGCGGCGATGATGCTTCCCCCGGCCTCGGCTTCGGTCTCCCCTCTGCCGCCGCTTCTCCAGCGCTCGTTCGGTTCTGCCCACCCCCGCTCGCCCCTGCCCTGCGCCAACTGGCCACTCCCGTCGCCCGCCTCTCCCTGGCGCTCCTGCCTTGCGCGCACAGGCGCAGCAGAGAGGCAGAGGCGGCGGGCGGACGGGCAGGCGCCGGCTCTTCCCGGAGGGGAAGCTGAGAAGGGGGTCTCTAGGGAGCCCCCCCTCCACGCGCAGGGAGGGAGGAGGCTTTCATTCATGAAATCTCTGGGCTGGGGCATATAAACAATAACAAGAAGGAGAGCTCTCCTGAGCTTCAAGAACGTAGAGTAATAGGGTCGGAAGGGACCTTGGAGGTCTTCTAGTCCAACCTGGTCCATTCCTGATTTTCTTTGGGCTTGATGGGATGGATACGCGGAATCATAGAAAGAATAAGAGGAGGAGGAGGAAACTGCCGGTTCTCCAGGTAAAGGGAGCTTCCCTAGAATTGTTATTCTTCCAACATCCCTGCTAGATAGAATAGAATAAAAGAGTTGGAAGAACCTTGGAGATCTTCTAGTCCAACCTCTTGCTCAGGCAGGAAACCCTACACCACTTCAGACAAATGGTTATTCAACATTATCTTAA